CTGTTAAAATGTGTTGTTTCCTTTTCGCTTTCCTGCCATTTTTTGGGGGTAAATCACAACTAACTCCTGATCGTTGCTGCCCCGCCTCCCAGTGTCAGGAAAGAGGTGTGTGGTGTTGACATGCACGCAATATTGACCTTTAACTTCAGAAAAGGCCAGATTTCATTATATACATAAAGCTTTTTTTTTTTTATTTTGTAATAAATAACATCATTTTAAAATCTACATGAATTCAACCATTTTTGATTCAAAAAGTAAGGCAACAAAAAATTTTTTTAGACAGAGCTTCATTGTGACAGTGCTATTTTTAGAACATGCCTCGAGGGCGCCTCAAGTGGTCCTTGCAGGTGAGCGTTTGCCCGCAGGCACCGTGTTGGTGACCCCTGCTCTAACAGGTACTGTGACTTTTAACTCTATGAGCTGTGTTTTCAATAATGCTGGCAGCACACTAGACTGACAGATCCACAGACCAGATGTTGACCTTCAGCCCACTGACAATCCACTAGTGCATGAAGAACAATAATCATGTGACATATGAGACAATGTATGAAGCATGCAGTCCTCTCCAGTTCTGTGTGAAGTAACACTGGCCCCATTAGTCACTACAGAGAAACAAATAATGTAACATTTACCACTACCTACCTTTCCCAGGGTAATATCAGGTAGTCCAGACTTTTTTAAGAACAAGGCAGCCTCTGTTGGTCCAACTCTCCCTGTATTCCTAGGATCCACCTTGGAGTAAACACACACATCATGGTCTGAGCACACTGTGGCATATTTGACGGTCTCCCTCTGAAACATATGAACTGTCTTTCACACGTTTTACATAAATTGGGATTGCAGTTCATAAGTAGGCTATTTTGAGATGGCTAATCCTCTTACCTGTCTGTAAAAGCTCTCATATACAGGGTTCCCACTTGATAGCTGTGGGAAGAGAGACAGTGTTAGTCCACTACCGGGTAGCCCCATGCCATGAGGGTCCCTCAGCTACAAGAACAGATATATAAGCTGTAAATTCATATATCTGACTAGACCTTGCATAGTGCTGGCTAATTAGGCTTTTCCCTTCAGGAAGAGCGCCTAAGCCCTCATTGCTCGCAATCAATAACAAGGATATATCACTATTGATCTGCCTTGTCATATTGCGCAATCGCATCAGATAAAACACAATCACTGTCACGAGTGTTCTTCAGCCATAAGCTTGCCACCAGCGAACTGTGACTATGACTACAGACTCAACTCACATCAGCACCAGTAAAGCTCAGTCAGTGTTAAGCCTACTGTAGATCTATCCGCCTTCTGGCCTCTAGCGATCCCCATCTTCACTCATTAGCGTTACTTGTCATCAAAGCTAGGCTAGCTTAAGGTTTGCTAGCTTAAGGACTGAACGCTGTCAGTTCCTGATGCTTTGTCAACATACGTGCTCTTACGAGCCTGGTCCACACTTTGAATCCAGTGTCTGTGGCGCTTATTATCTGTAAATGTATAATTTGTAAGTTAAAGGAATGATGTGTCGTACATAAACAGCTTCACGCTAGCTAGTACCAGCTGGGGCTAACAAATCCGCTACCTAACGGTAACGTTAATACAGCAGGCCTTATTCGACCAGCTCTTTGCTTTATTTATAGCTGCATTCAACGCGAGCTCTTATTTCAGACCAAATTAAAATACAACGTTGTGGACGAGACCGTGTATAATGCTATCAGTTATGTCACCCTTAAGTTGAAATGCACAGTGGTAAAATGCTGCATCTTTACCTGGGTGAGAGATGTGAGAGCTGCCATCTTCCCTGTTGCTGCGGGAACGCACCCACCCTTCCTCTCCAAGGCAACACGCCGACTGGCGGACAAGCTTAAGCCTCACACTCCGGGGACAAAGCGCGGTCAAAACTCCATTAAAAATCTGATAAGGTTTGCATTACTTGCAAAAATAATACAATATTTCTTAAAACAAAATGTTGCACTTATGTCCGACCAAGCTCTTTAATTCGGAATAATTATTTTGCAAACAAATTATAGAAGAAATTGCTTGACCTTTTATGCACTTAAATATTGTGCTGGCATGTGGGAGCCTTACACAAGAGGGCTCAAAATTTATTGAAGATCTGACTGTAATAGGAGCTGCATACCAAACCTACTGCATATATTGTCGAGGTTGAAAAAATGCTTAAAAAGAGAAGCTTTCAAGAAGTGATAATAAAGAATTTAGAAAATGTCCCTAAAAATTGGTACTTTGTAGCTGCTGTGCTGTCATTTGACATCAGAAACACAGTATGCACTCTCCATTAATTGACACTTGACTGCAGTGTATGTACCAAACTATAGCTGTAACCTCATCACTTCACAGTGAAATGTGATGCCTGTACTTCATGATAAAATCACCTTGTCTCATCCTCTTTGTAAAAGCCATTTATTTTACACAATGCTGACACAAAGGTTTTTCACAACTATTTAGCAAACCCTCAACTGGTGTATTTGTTTGTAACAATTTTTATAAACTCAAAAAGAAAAAACACTGACAAAATGGGTAAACCAACAAAATCAGAGCAACACCACATTGATAGTTTCATCATTCCTAACCCACTGCCATGCTTCAACAATCTCATGCAACAACAGCTCTTCATAGCTAAAGAGCACCTTTGTTACAGTAAAGTGCCTTTTTCCCCAATGTTTGTATACCCCATCTACAATATAATACAAATTGTCCAGTTCAAACACAACAAAGAGAAAGGAGAAACAGCAAAACATGCTAAAAATATTTGTTTTGGCTTCTAGCGCTTATTCAAATTCCCTTTAGTCAATTTTTGAAACAATAACTGATTATCACTAATTAAAAGTCTAATGACCAATCCTCATCTGTGAAACATCTCACTAGACTGTCAACTACAACACCATTTGTAAAATCAAAGCTCAAGTTTTTAACCCATAAGGCATGAAGGAGCAATGGCTCAAACTCTTAAGATGCATAGAAGATATGACACCAGACAAACTCAGACTGTCTGGAAGAAGGAAGTCAACTATCATTCCAACAGAGGAAATACTGTGGATTAATACACATTTCTTAAAAAAAAAAAAAAAAAAATTCCATCCTAAAAGTCAAAATTGTTAATCAACAATTTTTATTATTTTTTAAATTTACTTCTGCAAAGTAAAAAATAACTAAGTCAAAATGAATACAAAGTCAACATTTTTTAATCAAAATTATTCTACATCTTGAAATAGTGCATCAAAATCATGATTAGTTAAAATTGTTACTTAACCTGCAAACACCTCAGACAATCTTACTATTGTGTAATTTGACTTACACCACCAGTCAGAGATTTGAACACACTTTCCAATTCAATTCGCTGGGACAGTGTGGCCAAACTTCTAATTGGTGGTGTAGCTCAATATTTTTATTAAACAGTTGTAATTTTGAGGTATCATGACATTTTGTTTATCTTTGACCTTAAGTATTTTATATACATGACATTGGTAACATTTTGTTTAACTTTCCTTTTTCTGGCAGGAACGGGCAACAAAGTCCCAGATGCTCCTGCAAGGCAACTTGCAGGATTCATTTTCCATGGATAGAACCAATGAAGCACATGTACATGGCGAATGAAAGGTCAAAACAACCCCTGAAGAATGTATTCTATTTGGACACATTCTGTCTGACATATTTGAGTGTTTAGGATTTCAAGAAAACAAGAACCAAAAAGGTTAAATGATCAGATGTGAACTTTAATGTAAATCAATGCTAGCTTTCAAACAGTGAAGTGAACAGATTGCATCACATTTTCAGGTGCATCCAACATGCACATGTTGGTGGCAAACATGTGCAACATGTCTGTTTGCACATGTTGTAAACTTATTTTTGTCATGTATATATTCGCTACAAATACATTCTGTAGTGTGCACACTGTATATGCACAGTAGTCTAAGTTTAACACCTGATGGCCTGGGAAGGTGATGCAGACTGATGGTCTATTTCCTGACTTCTCTCAGTGTAATCACTCGACACAAGCGGCAGCAGTAACGATGTGGCAGCAGTATGGCAGAGCTCAGTATGAGCGCCCACGGTGATCATTATAGCTAAATGGATAGCAGGCGGCACAGCTAACTTTGAACAGCATGTCATCATCATCAAACCACAGTCACATGGTGTGAAAAGAAATGTCCTTCTTATCCTGTCCTTGTTCCTCCCCGGTGGACTTCGTGTAGCGCTGTCATCCAGTCTGCAGCCCTCTGCTGGATGGTGATGTATCAAGTGATATTTGGTTACTCATCGTCCCATGTTTGCTGTAGCAGGAAGTTTGCTGCCAGATTCTCATTCTTCTCACAGGCAAAGTAAGCCTGGATGACTAAGCCTTCAGGAAAGCCCAACGCTTTTAACTGGAAAACAGCATACATTCTCATGTTACTACATGGCTGGCTGATATCAAAATAGGAGAAACACAAGTGGAAACTCATGAATAAATTAGTGGCAATTTACAAAACTGCAGGGGGGTCACTGATTAAATCTGACAGTTCATTTCTTGATCATCTGATTTAGCGTTTTAATTCACAGAATGTCAAACACTGGGAAAATGCCTATTCTGAATTTTCAGTGTCAAAGGTGGCATCTTCAAATGTTTTGTTCTGTCCAACCAACAAATCCAAAGATATCCAGCTTCAGATTATTCTCAAGTCAAAGAGAAGCATGGCGACAAAGCGCTGCACATCATAATCTGAAAACACACCTGCCATGGGGGAAAACAAGTACCCACTCTCCGCTGACTTTATATTGTATGTAGGTGCCTCTTTGACATTTCAGTCTTATTACTAAAAACTGAAAAAAAGCAGCTGTGTCATAGGATGCACTACCAAGAAGGCAAAGAATTCAGTTAAAATTTTAAAAGCTACCAAACAAAAGAAAAAAACTAAGCTTTAAGACGACAAAGCGGATAAGACGTGAGGGATTAGCAGAAAGAATGGGGAAACAGGGATCATGACATTCAATACGTTTGTATACAACAAAGTATCTGGGTATGTTTGCAGGTGCCTATAATATCTTGCTAATACGTATCATGTGGGAAGAAACTTAGCATCAATTTATTTCCAAAACAGAACCACGTCTAGAGAGACAGAGTGCAGCTAATAACTAAAATGATGATGGGAAAAGTTAGCTGTTAAAATGTTAGCAAGCTACTTTGGTTAGCAGGCCCACAGTAATCTGCTGATTTTTTTAACTGTCTTCTGTGGCTATTGAGGCTCAGATTCCATTTGGTAGTTAGCTGAGGCACTTGCAAACATGTTACTGCTATGGCACAAGTTGCATCAAAATGCTTGAGCTTAACTTAAAGAATTACAGTAACCTAAAGTGACGTTTGGAAATTAACGGTGACAAAATGCTCATTGCACACAAAGGTTTATCAGGATCCCACTGTTTCCCCATTGTACCTGCTAATGCCACACTTTTGTCTTCTTAAAGCTTCAGTGTTTTGTTCAGCAACTTCTGAAACTGCATCTCTGGGTTCTTTGCGTTGATGGTAGTGTAGTCTACCACATAGCAGCTTTTAGCTATTTTTCAGTTTTTTGTAAAAAGACCAAATTGTCACAGAGGTGCCTTCACACAATACAAAATCAGTGGAGCAAGATGAACTGTCACCCCCCATACGCACACGCACCTGGTGCTGGTGTTGGTGTGGTCTAAATACGCCTAGTCTCTATCAGTTAAGCACATTAAAAAAAAGGTGGAACCAGAAAATGTTGGTGATTTTTACTTCAAAATAGTTGCTGGTTAATTTTTTATCCACGCCTGGTAGGAACTGGCTCATGGCTGCAGCTCTGGGTTAGTGAACGGCTTCATGAGGACGACAGTTTGTTGGACACAATGAGGGAATACGTTTTGGGAGAATGAGGTTTCCCCGTTCCAACAGAGGAGCATTAGTAAAGCTACTCTGGAGACACTTTACTAAAAAGTCTCTGTTGGTCACTTTACTGTATGGTAGTTTTTATTTTCATTTGTCGCCCATCTGTACATATACATCAATACCCACCTTCAGAAAACAAGGCTATGTGAACTCTTTAAACAAGCTGCCACAGAGCTTCCAAGAATGCTGCTGTTTTAGCCTTTTAAAAGTGCACTTTTTATATTATTTGTTTTGCAATAAATGATTTCCCAAAGGAAATAAAACAAAACAATAGAAATCATGACTTTTCATGGCTTATTTTGCAGTGAATGCTTCCTCATTCTGTAGCAGCCTGTAAGGAACTATACAGTTTATGTTTAGAAAGAATGATTTGGTGAATCAAACATCATGTAGAAAAGAAAATCTATCAGAGATCTGTGTGCTTTAGCCGACTATCCATCCGTTATCTATATTGCTTATCCTGAAGAGGGTCGCAGATACTGGTAAATCCCTGCACTGTAATGTCATTTGACTGGTGAACTGACCCTCTCAATGGCCTCCTTCTCCTGTGCGGTGACCTGGATGTAGTTAGTGTGTGGGGATCCCTGAGCCTCGGCCCCCTCCCCTCCTGTCTCCCCTCCTCTTCGTGGTTCATTCAGCATCTGCACAAAACGCTCCTGGTGCTGTGTGATTTGCTGCAAGTAATACATACAACCAATATAAATACTAGTGTACAACTGATATACTGTAGTTTATGAGAAAACAGCTAAACCAATGAAAAAAGGCCACTCAAGATTTTAATGCTGAGACTTAAAAAAAGTCTAGAGTTGTATAAGAAACATGTTCTCCTGGGCTCACTGATTTACTGCGCTTACTGCTTGCAACCAGGTTTATCAACAGAAACCCACACACACACACACACACACACACACACACACACACACACACACTTTAATCCCTGTCAGAAACCCACTGCAACTTGGTAAGTGTGCTGGATTGGTACCTGCAGCAGCTGCGGGTTGTCTCTGCCAAGCTGCTGCAGCAGGGCTGGTAGGAGGGCCGGGTTCTGCTGGATGATCTGTCTCATCTGCTGGAACTGAGGCTGGCTCCTTAGGAACTCAAGAGGGTTCTCTGTGGAGACGGAGTCTCCACCAGCAGAGGGAGACTGACTGCCAGATACTGGCCCTACTGGGGATGGGACACACTGGTTACCGTTGTTGTTTAGTGTGGGAGAAAGCTTATAGACAAAATAGCTAAATAAGACAAGGTATGTTCAATCAGAAGCTGGAAGATACCAATTCATTTTATATGTCCTCAATCCACTTTTATCTTCCAACTTCTTAAACACATGACCCAGGTAATCAGCAGTGGGCAGGGCAGGGACAGCTGGAAAACAAGCAGGGCAGCGGCACTCAAGGACCGGAATTGCCCACCCCTGTTTGAGATCATTCAGCAAATTAAATACCTAGCAGATCAAGGCACCTCATCAAACTGATGCTCAGTGATTTACGATATTGCCCACCATGTTGAATGCAGACCTCCCTTATATCTCCCTGGTGTGAGAGCCAGTGGGAAGAACCTACAGTCTGCAAGAGGGCTGTGCATTATTTCCTTTAGTGGCCTGCACCCCCCAAAAAACTCTACTGAACCAAATTTTACAAGATAACTAAATATTGTTAGTGTATGGCAATCACTGGCTGCCTTGCTATGTTTTTGCTGGCATTTCTTTGTTAACAGCATAGGTCAGAAAGCAATGAATGAATTTTAATAAAATTCTGAAGAAGTGGAGTATGGCCCACGGAGCAATGGATCAGACTCTAGTGCTGCCCGGCATCATAATTTTGATACAGGAATATTTTAAACAATTCTTCACCATTGTGAGTGCTGGAAAGGCTGTTGACTGTGAGCCCCCTTGTGGCCAAAGTGCACAACTGCGCTGCTGAGCATCCTGAGCACAAACAAAGGCAAATTCCAGGGTTATCGACAGCTGCCCATTCATTGTCAGTGGAAACTGAGTGCTGTCACTCAGAATGCCCGGCTGTATGAGACAGGCGACAGCCCCGAGCTTGGGAATCCAATCGGGATTATCATTTTCAGAGATGTGAATGCTCATTATCTGACCAAACTAGCTCTATTAGCAGGCTGCTACATCTTGTTCAGAGCACAGTAGTCTGTTGGTGAGGATGCTGGTGTTCCAGCTGTGCACTGCAGCTGAGTTTCCACTGTCAGAACCTAACATGCGATACACCCCGTGCTTCTCTTAACTGTCACCTGTATAACCTCACAGGCTGATGTGGACCGTCCTATTTGCTTTTCCACTGTATTTTTTTCTGTCTCAGTCTCTGTTCAGGAGGAGAGAGGGGCTATACTCCTCTCACAGCTGAACAGAGGGAGAGCAGAGGATGTGAAGGATCACTCCGTAGTATTACAAAAACAGCTGTTGAACAAGCAGAACAAATTTGCAAAAATGTGTCATTTTCACCACTTTGCCCACGGTCCACCCAACTGAAGTCCCCGTTTCAGTGTTATGGTGCACTTTAAACCCAGACTGAAATTATTCAAAAATGCAAGGTCATCAAAGAAAGACTGCAGCCACACGAGAACAGTTATAAACTAGTCTAAAATAAGAAAGCAAGATCAAGATTAAATACTTTTAAAAGTAAACATAAGACTAAGTAAATTACCTTGCTGTCTGGAACACTACACTCTCCCCAATGCCTCAAAGACCTGACCCCCCCAAACACACACACACACACACACACACACACACACACAGATACACAAGTAAAGAAAACATTCACCTGGAGAGCCAAGAAAAAAAGACCACTGTTCTGGAGAAAGGAGCTCTTATGAACATTTAAAAGGATGATGGCCAATGGGGAAAAATACATAAACATTTACTACACACTCTAGAATCCAGTGGCAGACAGGGATAGAAGTAGAGCCAGTTAAGTCCTTACCGTGAGTAGATACTCTACTGCTCGGTCTGGGTTGTTGTAACTGGCTCTAAGTGCAGCGACCACTTGCTCTCGCTCATAACCAATAGACATAATCTCTGACACCAGGTTCTCATAGGCTGTACCTGTCACTGTGGAAACAGCAATGGAGATAGGACAGAGAAAGAGGTGGTGGATGAAAGGTGGATGAGGTGAGGAAGGTGCTTTGCAGGCTTTTAGTCTCTACAGACCACAGTTCTTTTCAAAAATAGCTGTCCACAATTGGTATATAAATTGTATTACATGTTTTCTACACAGTAAAGACCTGGATATGAATGGGTACAGATATTTACAGTGCTCCAGAGATATACGGATCACATTTTAGCTGACTTTTTTTTTCAGCTTGACATAAATTTGTTCTATATTTTTGTCATTTCCCATTAATCCTTGGATGATGCAAACAGTGAGTTTACTGTGAACTACATCTGAGCCCTCTCTTTTTAGCATGTATCTATTTACATTTTTAGTGAATTTTTATCAGGAGTGGCCTAAGTGAGTGGATTTACATACAATCATCACCTGAGTTATTTTCATAGATCTGAAACATCTAAATCTGAAGTAATATGCAGGACACTGACACTCGCATAGGTTCAATTGCTCTGAGAAAAATGGGAGCAATTTTTGATGCAAACTATCAGCAGGACACTAAGAGTTAGAACAAAAAGAAACAGAATTACCGCTTTGCAGTTCTATGCTCCGTCATCCGATCAGATTAATGGGTATGGGACAGGCGCGAGTTCACTGACCTTTGACCTCCAAAATCTAATCAGTTCAGCCTTGATCCCAAGTGGACACTTTTGCCAAAATTTGAAGAAATTCCCTCAAGGCATTCCTAAGATATCGCAATCACAAGAATGGGCCGTATCGTTGTACAGATGTACAAACAGACCGACAACCCAAAAACATAATGCCTCTGGCCGTGGCTACCGCCGGCGCAGAGACAAATACAGTATACTGTATATAAATAGGAAGGAAAATTATAAACGTATTACCCAGTATTGAAGCTGCTTCTTCAAGGAGACCCAGTTCATCAACAAGGCTGAGAAAAATGTACAAAAACAAAAGACATGAAAACATGTAAAGTAAATCAACATTCCAAAAGCACAATTACAGTAAAACTCAGTTGTAATAAAGGAACAAGACAAAAAGTCTACCAAATTATGTATGCTATACTTAGTAAGTCATGCTTTGAACTACATGCTCATAGTGACAATGCTAGCATGCTAGTGTTTAGCAGGTATAATGTTTACCATGTTTGGCACCTTAATTCACCATGTTAGCATGTTAACATTTGCTAATTAAAACTAAACGCAAACTGAAGCTGATAAGAATGTTATTAGTTGTGCAAGTATGTGGCAAATCCAAGTTTTGACATGATGATGGGGCTACAGGAAGACCATCAAAATTACTACAATTTATTCCGAGGGAAATGTGAATATTCTACAAAATTCAGTGGCAATTCTTCAAATACATTTCTGTGTGGATCAAAGTGGCAGACTGACAGACATTACAATATTTTAACTGTTATGTACTACTGAGCAACATGCTTTCAGCTAAAGTCACTAAGTAACCCTGATTCTCTGTAGGTGACAAAAACCAAAATTAAGTCAAGAGCAGCAGTGAAGTGTTTTCATGCAAAAAGAGCTGGTTCTACATTACATTCAGAGCTGTTACTAATATTCTGACCCTCTCAAGTATGTAGCTGGGGAGGACAAAACTACACAGACTTAATACAGTGTAGTCCAGAACATCAACTTTAACAAAGACCAAAATAGTAAACATATGATTGACATATGATTTATAAATCTATGACAACGTCACCAAACACTGGAACATTCTGAGCTTCATAAACACAGATGTTGAGGTGGAAGTGTTGGATTTAAATGCATATAATTGTACAGGTGTACCTAATAAAGTGACCGGTGAGTGTAGGTTCCACATGATCACAATATGACCTTAGCTAGCTAACCCAGATTTTCCAACATATTTGAAATAAGATTCTTGGACAATGAGATAATGAATAACTCTCAACCTGGAAGCAGAGGAGAGGACTGGTGCAGTGGCAGATGGTTGATTCTCTGGCTCTTCCCTTGTCTTTTCTTCAGGCTGGGCAGCAGGTGTGAAGCAGTCTGATGTGGCTGAGACCATCTGAGCAGCTTCAGAAGCTGGGGCAGAGGCTGGAGGAGCAGCTGACTCCAAGGCTGGTGCTGAGTCTGGGGCCAGAACTGGCGCTGTGTCTAAGTCCAAGGTTGATATTTCTTTGACAGATTGGGTGTTTTCCAGCACTGGGGATGTGGACTCAGGGGGAGGCACTGAGTGTGGGGCAGGCGTGGGTGCAGACACTGTCTGTGTCGGTGTGAACGGCACTTCTGCTGAGGCTGAGACTGTGGGTGGTGCTGCAGCTGCAGCCGGTTGGGGAGTTGGCTGAGTGGCCCCTTGTGATGGAGGGACTGGTTTAGGCTGAAAAGACATTTGAATACTGATCATTAGCAGCACTACGTTGTTCACTTCACTCAACTAAACCAGGCCGTACAAGTTTAAGTTCCAGTCATGTTTCCATATCAGAACACTGGCATTCAAAAGATGACTGAATAAATATATCTTGCTCACTTGTACAGGTTTCAAAGGGGTTGTAAGTACCTGTACTATGATGCCTAACATGGTAAATTCAATACAATGTACATTGCCACAGCACTAAATCCATCAGTACAAAACAGTCATGTCATATTGTTAGGGTCACAGGCTGTTGTTTTAGAGTTGAGGTATGAATGCTTGAGGGGTCAACCTGCAGATAACAGTACGACTCCTCTTCTGAGATTCTGAGATGATGATGGACAGCGAAAAGTAAGTTGAGCTCAAGCAGGTCTGACTAAAAGTAACAATAAATTAACTCTACTCACTATTAATGTCTGTCAGTCCTGGATTAGTTCATTCATCTGTGTCTCAGACCACTGTTGCTATTCAAAAATGATTAAAAACACCTCAGTAACACACACCGCTGCACTGGTTCATATGTTTCTTCACTAGAAAACATATAACCTTTTTTTTTATTTATGTTGCTCCAAAGGTTTCATAACTTTTTATAGCATCTGTGGGAGGTGGCCGGTCTGGTGTCATGGTGCAAGGACAATAATCTCAGCCTCAACACAGACAAGACGAAGGAGATGATAGTGGACATGAGGAAGGAGAGGAGATCTCATCGGCCACTGTTCATCCGGGGGCTCAAAGTGGAGAAGGTGAGCAGCTTCAAATACCTGGGCGTCCACATCAGTGAGGACCTCACTTGGACACTTAACACCACACAGCTGGTCAAGAAGGCCAAATGGTGGCTGTACTTCCTGAGGAGGCTGAGGAGGTTTGGCATGTCGCCTAGAATCCTTTGCAACTTCTACAGCTGCATCATTGAGAGCATATTGACCAGCTGCATCACTGTCTGGTATGGCAGCACTACTGCTATGGACTGCAAGTGCCTGCAG